AATTAAGAGAACGATTAAAGGAGATGACGTTAGAGAGCTCGGACTTTATGAACGATTAATGGCTGGATCTTTAGCTGGTGGGATTAGTCAGTCAGCCATATATCCACTTGAGGTATGAAATTCACGTAACATACCGTAACACCAATGTAATATTTTCATTATTTTTTAGTGATATTGTTCGTGATATATTGCAGGTGCTCAAAACTAGATTTGCTCTTAGAAAAACAGGAGAGTATTCGGGTTTAGTAGATGCAACAAAAAAGATATATAGACAAGGTGGTTTGAAATCTTTTTATAGAGGCTATGTTCCTAATTTAATGGGAATAATTCCATATGCTGGTATTGACTTGGCTGTGTACGAGGTAAGTATATAAAAAATGATTGATAGTTGGTAATCTTTAGTTGAAATATTACTCTTTTTTTTTTGTATAGACTTTGAAAAACAGGTATTTACAAACACACGACAAAAATGAACAACCACCCTTCTGGATATTGTTATTATGCGGAACAGCTTCAAGCACAGCCGGTCAAGTGTGCTCGTATCCACTAGCGCTAGTCAGAACGCGGTTGCAAGCAGATATGTCTCCAGGGAAGCCTAATACTATGGTTGCTGTTTTTAAGGAAATTATTAAAAATGAAGGTATTCGCGGTTTGTATAGAGGTTTAACCCCAAACTTTTTAAAGGTATGGAATAATTTACATAACGATTAATTTTTGATAAATGGAGATCATAAATTATTCATATATTTTTTATTTTTTTTTTTTAGGTTGCACCAGCTGTGTCGATTAGTTACATGGTGTATGAAACCGTCAGGGATTTCTTGGGTGTTAATATGACGTGATGATTATTTATTTTAGGTGATATTAATTTAACTAAATTATTCTTTAATTACATCATAATGTATACAAGCAAGCCAGTCGTTGGTTGAACAAACAATTCGGCATGTTCTGCCTTTTGTTATATGTAATATCGCTTATTTATTGTTAACTCGAAGCTTCTACGATTATTTAAGCATTTGCCATTCTATTTTCCAATTGTATATCACACTATTAAACTCATAGAACATATTTATAACAAATTTCACATAAGGAGATAAGTATAACAAAAGTGGCCAGCATAAAGAATTTTAATTAATTTCCAATGAGTTCACATTTATACACTCCGTGTATACATCATGCTAACTAGTTTAAACGTATTCATTGTTATGACTTACACTTATATTTCGCTTCTATGAAGAAGAACAAAAGTGTAAATTTATAATTTCGAAATAGAAATGATAGTATAAAGACCAGTAGAAGAAAAGAAAATAGTATTATGTCTTATAATTTTATTTTGATCGTTTTTTATGGAGAGGAAATAAGGATGTGGTTAATAGTTGTAATATTAAAGAAAAAAGGAATTCCTATACGATCCACGTACGATTTGCAAATCAAGTAATCTACAGATGGAAATGTAATTTTATGAAAATGTAAACGAATGTATTGTTTAGAAAATACATTAGATAATGTTGCAAATTCTGAAAATAGGAGGATCGAGTTATATTATTGCTGTGATATGTATGGTTATAAGCTAAATTGGAAACATAATTCAGTGCATAACATCCTATCAATTTTGTAAATGCGTTTTATTTTTATTGTAAATTTCTTCCAGTATTTAATGATAATAACGAAAATAATAATACCAATAGTAATAATAATAACAAATCCGCTATTATCAAGGTGTTATGCTATGAGTTATTGCAAACACTGCACATCTATAATTTATGTGTTAAACTTGTTCCATGAACGAGTACTCTATCCGCGATATTACATTTATTACACGCATTGTTTTAACATAATTGTCTGATTAAATGAATCTTGTAGGCATGTTATGTATATTCTATGTATTATAAATATGTATATTTAAACTCCAAAGAAGTACATCACGATATAGCATTATATTCGTGCCTGTTTACTTCTTTCTTCAAAATAATCACGAGTGTTGAGTGATGACGATAAAAAAATAATAGTTTCACAATTTATCTTTGGACAAGTATCAGGTATTATTTTCACTTATATTTTTAAAATCAAAGATGTCCTCTTATTTTTTCCATCACGTTTTTAACATAAACGAAATATAATTTAAATGAAGTAGCTACAAATTACAAAACCCATTTTTTCTGGGTACTTTTAGCATTTATATTAGATGTACGTACTGTATAGAAACATTTAACTGAATCAACATTTTCGATTACCTTTTTAAGTCTATAGAATGTTCGTTGTGCTTTGGAATAGAATTTTATAAATAATCCATACGAATTTGGAAGAACCGTAAAGAAGTAATTTGACGTGTCGTTTAAAATTAAAACGTTTTACAGCATTACGCAGTTAATACAAATTATAACGGAAGTGACGATTAAGTCATGTGAAAAAGATGTAAATTAATAGTTTTTTAGTTCTTTTTATGGCTTGATATCTATTGTACACATAAAATTTTTGTAAAAAAATAAAGATAATTTATTAAATATTGTAAAAATTTTAGTTCCTAAGTAATTAGCACTGATTACTGAATTTGACTGATAGCGGATGTTATCTGTTAAGTGCATATTACAAACGATATTCCTGCCTCGAACAATATACATACATTAATGATATTAATTCCATATTATGATATACAAAAATATGCATCGTATAAAAATAGTCACTTTTTGCTGCATACTTATTTATATATATCAATACTTATTAATTTTATATAAACTACCAAAGATAGAGAATGTCTTCTACGATCTACTAAACGAAGATATAATATTTATACTAGATATATCTATTTACTTCTGTATACAAAATGACAATGATTATGATATTTTCTCGTGCAAATAAAATATTGAATAAAGATTTTAAATAATTACTTTGCTTACTGTTTTTCGATCCCATGATAAATATTTCAATACAGAATTAAATAGAAATTGCTATGAGAATTACATACTATTATATATTGTTCTATTGATGGTATGATATAAACAATAAAAATATATTCACATTTTTATATATATATTTTTTTACCATAAGGATTTTATTTTAATGTTTTATTTAGTAAATATTTGTATTTTTGCTTGGATTTCTTGACATTATTTATTTTTATGAAAAACATAATTTATGATAAATCGAATTACGTAATGTTAAATATATTTGTAATTACATAATATTTTAATTTTTTATATTTATTATATCTAGATAAAAATAAATATTGCTAAATATTTGTACGTTTTTGAAACGTATACTGTCTTATTTCAGCATCCAAAATATTTGCTACTTAAAAATTTTTTAAGCCACTTTTGTTTTATATGATTTTCTAAATTTATTAAGATGATATAATAAGCATAAATCGCAGTTTGATGATAATAATAATGAATGAGTAATGTGGTATAAAAATGCTTTACCTTATTATATTTTATACCCATTATAATTAAATGTTTACAAATTGAAATGAAAAAATAAAATATTGGAAACTAATATTAAAATATGTAACAGAACCTAATATATTTCAAATGATATTAACATCACAATAAACAAATATCAATCTTTGAGCAATAAATTACAAAAAATGTCATTTAGTTACTTTTCTATTATTAGGTATCTTAAGTAAGATGCACATACGTATATAAAAGTAAGCTCAAAAAATTTGCTGAGCATTAGGACAAGATATTAACATGGAATGTCATAGTCAATTTAATGGAATGTGGTTTAGGCTGTTTCTAGAAATTTTGCAGCATCTTCATCTAGGACCCAATACAATTCTCCATTGTGGGGTTGAACACGAGCAGCTGGCAAATTTTCTCTATCTTGCAAAACTCGCTGTTAGATATTAAATATTAAGAATAAAAATATTTTACATGAATTATAACTTAAAAATTAGTTTCCTTTAACCTTCAATGAAATAATCACCTTAACAATTCCAGCTTTACCATATCCGGTAATAGCAAATATGCATCTTTTTGCATTATTTATCACAGGAAGAGTGAGAGTAATACGAGATAGAGGTGGCTTAGGAGAATCATTAATAGGACAAACCCACAAGCTTGCTTCGTTTAAAAGTTTGTGACCAGGGAAAAGAGAGCATATATGTCCATCTAGACCCAATCCCAAAAGAAGCACATCAAAACATGGAACACGGTCAGGAGGGAAAAATACAGACATCTTCTTAATGTAATCTTTTGCAACATCTTCGGCTATAAGTATAATAATGTAATTATATAACTGCTATTTTATGGGAAAAAAAAGAAGAAAGAGATTATAGATTGAAAGACATTATTTTACCAGACAGATCAGGATTAATTTTTATAAATTGTTCTTCAGTTATTGGTATTTTTCCAATCAACTTTGATTTATATACTCCATAAGTAGAATCATTGCTATCGAAAGGAACAACTCTTTCATCACAGAAGAAGAAATACCATTTACTCCAATCAGTTGTAACATTAGGTAAACTGTCAACCAATAATTGTACCAAAGACCCCCCTGACAAATAATTTCAAAATTTTATTATTAGTTTAATATTTTAATGTAAAAAAATAGCTTCTGTTCTTGTAAGAGGTATAAATGGTATATGTAAGAGGTATAAATTAAATATTGGAAATAAAAAAATGAAAAAAGATAGATTGTAAGATCTGAATTGTAAAGATTGTAAGAACAATAACCTGCTCGCTTAAATTGGAATCAAATGAAAAAAGAAATAAATATAAAATCTCGTCAATTGCATAATTTTTTACAGCATGTATAACCTATAAATGTACGTATTTTAAATGCAGATATTACTTTCAGATTTTCTTTAAAATATATCTTATAAGGATGGAACACTCAATGGACATGATTAATAATCTGTTTTTATCATTTTTGTATTTATAGTGTTTATGTGAGAAGTATATCACCTGATAGTCCGACTTTAAATGTATCACCAATAGTAAGTGCTTCTTCAGCACTCGTTTGAAGAAGGTTAGACAAACATGACACTACGGTTCCATCCCGAGGCTCGACTAGTATTTTCTCCATTATTTATAAGTAATTTTAAAATAACACTTAAATTTCTAATCGTAAATAAACGAAGAACTCTACGCGAACAGTGAGACTCGTCTTGAGTATAAAGACGTAAGGTAGTATTAGATATACATATAGAATCGGTTAACAGTAATCAGAAATCAGAATACAGCATTGGACATTCACGATGACACGTGATAAACTCGCAATACTATCTTCTAAATGTAACACTATGATCGCGCCGCCAATTTGTTTTGTGTTTGTGTATGAACGTATCTTTGTCCAACATGAAATTACGCTATGAAGTACATCGCTTATTATAAAAAATTTATTATTTATATTTCAGTATTTATACTATTTTATCGATTTATATTTGAGCATGTAACAGCAATATTTACTTTAATCCATGTTTCATAATTCTTCAAAAATTGAAATTATTTCATTTTATACTATGTAATCTCTGATCTAATAAATTTCTTTGAAAAGCGAAATGCATTTATTTATCAATACAAATCCAAAGTTTTTATGAAATGGATCACATTTATAAAATAAAATTTTGATACGAATTTTAGGTTATAAAGTCTTCAATGATAACTGGAATATTTGACTCAGTGAAGCAGTATGATCAAGTCAAGATGTGCAATGTTGTACACTTACTGAATATAAGAGTGATTTAGATGATTATTAGTCATTTTTTTGAAAATACTACGTAACAATCATGTCATTTTGTATGAGACTTGCTCGAAGCAAACCTATCCGTTTATTAGGGAGTATAGCTATTAAATGTTGGGCTTTCTCTGGAACTTATATACTTGCCTGTTTCCTTCTATATTGGTTGTACGGTGGGATTTCTGCTTTCTTTCTACTTTGTTTTGCCACTACAGGTATATCTATTAATGTCTTCTATCAAATTTTTATGTTTCTAACAATGGTAGGTGTGTATCTTAATCAATATATATTGTAGGTATATTGTATCATAGAGAAGATCAACTTGTTTATCGTCCAGAGTCACCAGCTAATTCTCGGATATATGTTCCTGCACCTTCGATATTTAATTTACCTTATCAAAGCATTTATACTAGATCAGGGGATGGTACCATGTTACACATGTTTTTTATTTCTCAACCAGAGGATAGAATAAAAAAGGTGCCTACTTTGTTATTTCTTCATGGAAATGCTGGTAATGTAGGACATAGGTCAGTGACTTTTGCCACTTTATCATATAATTTTATTTTGTAATATGAGATAATAATTCTAGAACTATATTTCAGACTAAAAAATGCAGTTGGATTATACCATACTATCCAATGTAACATTTTAATGTTGGAGTATAGAGGCTATGGTTTATCACAAGGATCACCATCTGAAGAAGGTTTATACATGGATGCTCGTGCAGGAATTGATTATTTATCTAGTAGAACTGATATAAATACTAATGAAATAATCGTATTTGGTAGATCATTAGGTACTTATATTTTTTAAATGAGTCATTTTTATGAGTTTTATAGTGTGTGTTTAATATGCTCTAATATTTCTATAGGTGGTGCTGTAGCTGTCAATTTAGCTACAAAGCCAGAAAATTCACAAAGAATTTGGTGTCTTATTCTTGAGAACACTTTTACTAGCATTCCTGATATAGCTGCACTACTTTTTGGATTGAGATGTTTACAATATTTACCCCTTTTTTTATATAAAAATAAGGTAAGATAATTTCTCTTATAAGTTAGTTTCTTTCAGTTGATCATTTCTAGTTGAGTCATTTTGTATTGTAGTATCTGTCCATCCTCAAAGTGCGGTCAGTAACGGTACCTACATTATTTATTTCTGGTTTAGCGGATACGTTAGTGCCTCCACGTATGATGCAAGAACTTTACAAGAACTGTAAAAGTCCGTGTAAAAAAATACTTTCGATTTCAGGAGGTACACACAATGAAACATGGTGTCAACCTCGATATTACAAAAATATATGTAATTTTTTAAATGAATTGAGGGAAAATCCTCCAGTCCAAGTGACGTCTAGTCACTGGCAAATAGACGATATATAAAGACAAATTGCAAAGCTCACTTTACGTCCAAAGCGATGATTACATTTTAAAAATTGTCCATCTTAACAAATAAAAAAAAAGATAGATTAATGTATCAGGATAAGTTATTAATCTTTATTGTGATCAAACAATTTATTTACAAACACAATTTAGCTCATAATTAATGCGGATCAATCTTCTATGAGAATATTTTATTAAAACATATATTAAGATTGCAATATTGGAAGTGATGCAATGTTTGAGATCATCGAAATATCATGATTTAAATTTAGTTAAGTGTCTGTCATGCACTTGAAATTTGTGAATAACTAAATAAGACCTTAAATCCTTCCAATACGTAGGGTATTTTTAGGAAATGTTTAGATAGTCTTAGTTAACTATTTTCATCGAAAATGGGCTGTTTTTGTATAAAAAAAATATATACAATTATACGAATACTAATGTATTTATATGTGTGAATTAGAAATATATATTTATTTTAATGTTTTGATAAATATACTATTATATATATATATTCTTATACATGTATTTATACACACATTATATGTTCAAGATAACATTTTATTTATTCATTTTTTTTCAATAACATTTAAATTTAATTGAAAACCATTTAATTGAAAATCATTTTATCAACAAATTTAATTTTTGTGTGAATATTAACATTTGATTGTGTGTTCACTAATAACTTTGTCAGTCTTATACAATGTTTAGTATTCAGATGAATGATAATTCTTGAAGTATAAATTAATTCAGAAAATAAATTTATTTCCATTCATTATTTAACTTTAATCAATTTAAGAGATAATATAATTTATATGTTATTACATAAGTCACTTTGAAAATAAAAGTACATCTTGAGTATAATATCAATATATTGAAAATTTAAGAAAATTTTATTAATTAAAAAAGAAATGTGTTAAAAATATACAAGACAAATAAATTTATACACTAAATAATGATAAACTTTAAAATTTCCTATTGATTCTCCTTCTTCTTATGGCTATTTTTTGTGTCCATAGAATGCCTCCTACTATTAAAAGTGTTAATACAGTTGTAGCTATTCCTACAACAACTAGCAAACCAGTACTAGAATCAAAATGTACTACTTCATTAGACATTACATTGGCAACATTCATTGCAAGATTTTCTTTAAAAACTGATGTATCAACACAAAAAATTTTGTCTTTCCATCCGTACCAATGTACCATTCTTATGTTTGATATTTCTGAAGGCGAAGCACACCTTATGTAATGTAAAGAAACACAATAAAATAATTAGTATACTATTTTTCGTCATTTTAATTCAAAGCATTAAAATGATTTCTAATAATAATTTTATGGGTTATATACCTTAAATCATCTAAAAGATGGGGCTGGATGGAATAAAGTTGTGGAACCAAATCACTTAACATCCATTGTAGTGTACAATTACATTTAAATGGATTTCTTTGTAGATTAACACTATATATCATAGAATTATTGTTACGTACAACCAGCTCTTTTGCGACATAGGAAAGTTGATTATTACTCAAATCTAACTAATAACAAAAAATTATTTACTTAGGTAACTTAAACTTATTTGGACAATATTCTAAAATAGTAGCTTGAAACTTACTGAACAGAGAGTCATGTGTCTCAAAGCATCTTTATGAATAAAAGACAACATTTCGTTATTGGATATAGTAAGATGAATGCAACCATTCGATGGTGGTCTCAAATTTGCTAATGTACCTTCATCAATAGCTTTCAACATACTCATTTTACTTGCAATAAATGAATTTAACTTTAAATCAGAGCTAATTGTCAAATTTTCAATAGGGTTTTGGCTAACATCAAATTGGAACAGTAATGGGAAATTTTTAATAGATATTACTTCAGGAATATAAGTTAATTTATTGTTAGATATGTCTAACACTTTCAAATTTTCAGATATAACATTTGGAAAACTTGATAACATATTTCCACTAATATTCAGATGTTGTAAATTATCTGTTATTATGTTTGCATGTAATTCAGAAATATTGTTGTGCTGTAGATTTAATACTTCAATATAATCCAAATTGTATAGTATTTCCGAAATTTGATTATATCCAGAATGTAATTCAATCAATGTCTTTGGTAATGCTTGCATATTTAGTGTAACAATAAAATTGTTATTTATATGAATTGCTTTCAAAGAATTTAAAACTGTTAGACTACAATCTTCTAAAGAATGGATTCTATTAAATGACAGATCTAAATATTGTAAATTTATTAATGATTCTAGAAATATTTTAGATAAACTGGATATATTGTTATGAGAAAGATCGAGTGTATTAATCTTTGTTGTAGTTTTGTTCATTAAATATTCTATTGAATTTATATGATTATAACTAAGGTCTAATGATAACAATGCAGGAAGTACTTCCAACAACGAATAATCAAAAATTCTTAATGCATTTTTAGAAAGGTTTAGATCTTCGAGATTGTTCAAGTCTATAAACATTGTTGTATATATTTCTTTTATAATATTTTCAGATAAATCTAAACTTCTTAAAGATTGTAACTTCTTCAATAGATTTGTAGGTAAATTAACTATATTGTTTTTAGATAAAACAAGTTTGTTCAGTACTTGATAATTGTCTAATGTTAACAAATCAAAATTAAACATGTCATTATTTCCTAAATATTTTCCATGACAGTTAATTTCCTGTTCTTTATTCACTGTAATAAATAAAGTACATATTATTAGCTAAATTTATTAATAATTAATATATGTAATCAATAAATAATTTTAAAGAATTTGTTTTTAAATTATATCTCACCAAATTGAAATAATTTTGCTTACTTAGGATTGTACACGAACATGTTGAACATATATCACATATAGAACTTTGTATTATCAATGAGAAACACAACCCAATTAAATTTAAATAAATAATCATTGTGTTAAATTGTTATTTAGAGACCTTATATTTCAACAACCAATATAGCATTACTCATACTTAGGGTGTAACATGCACTTGGCATCTCTTTGATAACATATCTGATAACAGTGCTTAATAAGAGAACGTATATCTATTTCATCTGACTTAGAAGATAATTATAATTTCAAGATAAAATTCAAACTCCTTTCGTTTAATAAATTTTATATTAATGATTTATAAAATATAAAATTTTATTTGTATTCTGTATATCATAACAGAATCATAAAATATTATTTTACTCTAGTTAATATCCTAATAACCTAAAGTAAGTATTCTAAGTATAATAATTATAAAACATGCAATATAATAAAGTATGCTATGACTTTTTAAAGAAATTCATCAATGTAGTTTGTTTAGTGTTTTTCTTTCTTTTGATTTCTGAAAGTGATTCAGGTGCCACTATCTTCTTTTGGTTTTTTGCTTCTACAATTTCTGGTTCTTCTTCAGAACAACTTTCATAAACATGTACCTTTTTTGTGACAAGAAAACCATCTTCTTCAAATGTTTTATCTACTGTTTTTAAAACCTTACGTTTTCCATTTTCAAGTTTAACTTGTGGTGGAGAAACAGAACATTTCTTTACAAAAGCAGGAGGATTTTCAGGCGAAGATGGTAAATCTAGTTCTGATCCTTGTTCATTATCAGAAGATTCTGAACCACTAGAATCACTCTGAATTGTAATACGTTTTCTCTTTTTAACAGTATTCTTGGTGTCTTTGCTACGATTACGTTTTTTCCCTCTTACATTCTGCTTTTGTTTAGAATTACTTTTTGAAATAACTTTCTCTTCTACAATTTTTTCTGATAAGGAATTTGTGCTTTTGTCTTTATCTAAAGAATTTGAACTTTTATTTTTATCTGAAAAATCTGTAGTTTTTGTATGATTCTTATTTGGTTGAAAAAATCCACTTGATTCTCCCTTTTTTATATTTTTCTTTTTTCCAACACCAATATTTTTAGATATTTCTTTTGTATGACTAGAAGCATCCACTCCCATTGTTTCTGTATTAGACGATACAGGTGGACTTTTTTGTTTATTATTGACTTTCCCAAACAAACTATCAAAACCTTTTCTGTCAGCATTTTTCTTTTTAGCAATTTGCTTCTCTTCTGGGCTCAGTATCTTTTTTTCTTTGACTGGTTCAGATATTGATTGTGTTTTTTCTTGAGGAACAGATTCAACTTCTCTTGACATGATACCCCAACGGAACATATGCATCTCTTCATCATTACGATCATTGTTCTGAATACATTTAATGGCACTGAATTTAATATCTCCATTTTCAGTTAACCCAAGCAGTTGTATCTCAGGAAGAACTTTTTGAAGGCTATAAATATGCTCGGAAATAATTTTACTATATTTTTCTTTTGCTGTTAATAGATCTTTTTCTCTGACAATTTCAACTCGCATACCACCATCATGCAAAATTCCGATTAGCAAAAAAGTGCAATTAAAATCTTTCTCCTTTTTGTATCTTTGCCAAAATTCCCATAGAATTTGTTTTGCTACATTGACGTGAACTTCCAGTTCTTTGCTTAACCATTTATAGGTTACCTATAGTCATTTTATGCACTTAAGACAATTTAAAAGTCATTTTTATAAAATAATATTGTAAGCGATTAGTGTAACGTAAATTTGAAAGTTGTATTATGAGAAATCGAGAAATTTAAAAGAATACTCACCAGTTTATCATTATCAAATATATATTCTGTTACAGTTTCTAAATATTCGGACAGAGATTCCGCAAACATATTTAATAAAAGCTTTTAATTGACAAAAAATACTTTTATAACAATTAGACAATTTAATGTTACGTATATTTCTTAATAAATGCGCGAAATCGCTTACATACTTCAAAATGACAAATTGTACAAAAGTTTCTATATTTTTATAATAAATTCTAAATTTCTAATCCAATATTTGTAAATAATTATATTTAATGTATTAATAATTTTTATTCATATAGAAAAATTTGAAAGATTAAATTTTGTTAAATATTATAACGCGATAAATAAATTGCTGATTTTTATGCATTGTTACGCTGTCGCTTGAATTTGCTCTTAGTATAATTGCGTGAAGTTGGTTTCAATGATTGTATCTGGAAACATTCGGCATAAACTATGAACGAAATTTAAACTGACCGACTATATACGTAGATTGAAAATTGTCTAATTATTCACCGAAAGCAGCTAGATAAGGAGAGGAAATGGCTCAGAAGACAAACAGTTTTCTATGAACTGGCTTCAAATTATTTATTATGATGCCAAATTAATAGTTCAAATTTTTTAATGTAATCTCTTGGTATTTTATCCCGGCAACTTTCGTGTAGACTTTCCTAGAACTTGAGCTGTAACCTTAGATTATCTATTATGTGCCGCATAAATTAAGAGTCCGAATTTCTCGATATGATTTCTCTATATCTTATCTTTGACGACTATGTGAACTTTTTTAGGAAGTTTGCTGTTTCTCTTTTATACTATTCCCTTCTCCATCGCCGCACATGTAGGTATGGTCTTCTGTGAGAGGCAATGCTCCTACCTCCACTTACTCAGGAAGACAAAACCTAGGGGAGGGGACCCTGGATCTAGGCAGGAATCAAAGATCAAAAGTGAAAGAAGTGAGTTTTTAATCAATTCAAATTTTGACTCTCGAGTAACTTCTTGCTATTGTAATTAAAAAGTACAAGTTGAAATAAACGATCGTTTATAAAAAGAACAAATTTTTTTTTAATCTTCGCGCACTTCCACGAGCAGACTGGTTCAGCGCTCTATGTGAGGTTGATACCAACCTACGTACCTCCGTCCTAAAACCCCAAAATGAAAACGTAACAACATCTATGAGAAATTTAAAAATGCAGATAATATGAAAAATTACTTATATCTAAGTTTCATTTTTTAAATTATATTTATAAAAATATGAATTTGCATAAGTATCTATAGTCTAGTGATAATTATATGATAATACCAATACTGTTCTATTGGGAATTATTTCAGAACGCGAGTTTTACCAAATGAAACAGTGAATGTTCACATAACAAACAAAGTCGATTGTTAAATTAACTATTCCTCGTGGTAGTTGACTATATACTGCAGAATTATTTTGAGTGAACATTTGTAATATCTTTATGTAAAACCGAGAGAAAAGAATTATGGTCTCGGTGATGCAACCATTCATGGTGAGTGAATTCGTAAAGGTGAAACAAGTTACCGGTTTTCTTCTGCTTTGAAAGATATCATTTTTCGTACAATCGTTCGAAAAGTTTGAAAATTAAATGACTTCTCAATTGTATCACAGGATGTTGAGAGTTCGAGAAGTTACATCGATGAATTATACTCGTTGGATCCTCAAAAATGCTTAGAAGCTATTATGTGAGTACAAATCGTACTTAACCTCTAAACTTGTTTATTAAAGGTCATTATTTATTAAAATTATTATAACATATGGTGTAAAGAAGCGTTAAAAAGGTAATATTATTAAAACAATTTTATAGTTTTTCTTACTTTCCACCATTACTTTGTCAATGTTTATTTAATTGAACATTTATGTTAACTATAATTGATCTCTTTTTTTTTCGTTTCTAGATGCCTAAAAAATTCTGTAATTGGAAGTAATAGACAAAAAGGATCTGTAATAGCACAAGGTGTAGTACCTCGTTTATTGCAACTTCTTGGAGATACATCAGACAGAATTGGAGATAATATAAGGCTAGAGGCTGCAGTAACTTTGGGTTCTTTAGCTAAAGGAACTGATCAACATGTGCTAGCACTTATAGATCTCGGTGTAGTGCCGTTGCTTTTTCAGGTTATATTATCTACACCTATCACAGAAACGCCATTAGAAGGAAAGCCAAAAATAACAGATTTATTAAACGAGGCATGTTTACGTTGTTTGAGAACAGTATTTCAACATCCATCAGCACCGGTTCATTCAATATATCAGGATCCTGCACTAGTGCCAAGATTGGTATCGTTAGCAAATCAATCAGTCACTTGTCAAATTTGTGTAGCAACAATTTTAACAACAGCATGCAAGGTATAGAAATGATAAAATCAAATCTAACTTTGCTATGTAATCCTTAAAATTATATTTTTAATAATTTCTTGTTAGACAACAGAAGAGCAAAGTGCTTTAGCCAAAGGTGGTGCGGTAGAAACATTAGCAATGCAGTTGGATTCTCCATTACCTGATGTTCAATCATCAGCTCTAGCATGCTTGGCAAATATGTGTTATAAGAATTATGGGGTATGTGTCACAGTTGCATCGGCAACTACCAGTAACACACCACAGGGTAGGCTTGTACCTGTAGCATTAGGACAATTAATGGGCCGTGAGAAAAGCTCCTTAATTCAACTTGAAGCTGCAAGGTGTGTTACATATATGCATAGAACTGGAGTTCTAGTACACAAAGATCCTAGAATTATATACCGTGCTTTACCTTGTTTGGTACGACTTTGTCATCGAGATCATCCGCCTCGTGAAAGAGTAGCGGCGGCTGAAACTTTGGCTTTCCTTACCGAAGTTAATACCGAATTGCAACGTCTAGCTTCCATTAGTAATCATTTAATTCCTACTCTTGCAGAATTATTACGATGTCATCCACATGTAAGTATATTATACATTATAGATTTACATATCTATTTTGTATGTTTATTATTGTTAATATTTCATGTTAATGAATTGTACAAGTGCAAGATTGTACTTGCAATGGCGCAGCTACAGGATGCAACATTAACACAAGATATGCGACAAGCTGCATTCAGGGCATTCGCATCCCTTGGTGCTAATGATGAAGATATTAGGAAACGTATCATCGAGACAGAAAGCCTTATGGAACAAGTAGTGGCAGGACTTCAGGATCCAGGAGGTTCTCACGTACGTTTAGCAGCAGTTAGATGTCTTCATTCTCTTTCTAGAAGTGTTCAGCAACTCCGAACAACGTTTCAAGATCATGCTGTTTGGAGGCCCCTTATGCAATTGTTACATGGTGCAGATAAGGGATTGGAGGGTAAGATATAATATTTTTAGACTTGATGGATTATTTTTGAAATAATGATTTATACAAAATTACGACACATTTCCTTTAAAATGTTTTAATTACACATAACTCATTCAATGAAATCATACAAGATTACTGAAGAACATTGAAGATATTTTTGCATATTTTTTGTAATACCAGTTATATAAATCTAAAACGAAAATTTTTCAAAATTAGATCATGCTATTAGTATCTATTATTATTAATTAGTACAATTGTATTATGTAGGTAGAGGCGAAAGTGAAGTTGACTTATTAACTGTTGCCTCGAGTACTTTATGTAACTTATTGTTGGAATTTAGTCCAAGCAAAGAACCAATTCTTGAATCTGGAGGAATAGAGTTATTGTGCTCGCTTACAAAACGATGTACACCGGCATTGCGATTGAATGGAATTTGGGCATTGATGAACGTGGCTTTCCAAGCCGAACAGCAAGTAAAATTACAAATTTTACAATGTCTGGGAACAGATCAAATCTTTTGTCTTCTGGCAGATCAAGATATACCAGTTTTGATGAAAACATTAGGTTTATTACGAAACTTGCTCTCTACAAAAGCACACATAGATCGTATAATGGGAGAACACGCTGCTCACGTTATGCAAGCTGTTATATTAGTTTTAGAAGACCCAAGGCATCCAGCAGACGTAAAGGAGCAGGCTCTCTGTATTTTAGCGAATGTAGCTGATGGAAATCGAGCAAAAGATCATATTATGGCTAACGAAGATGTGCTTAAAAAACTTATGGATTATATGGTCTGTAAAAAATATTTTGTCTTTTTTTTTTCTTTCTTTAATATTTCATTCTTTATTTATCGCCTTCTTTTAATTTATTTGAATAATACAACAAATATCTTCCCATGTTATTTTATGATTCTTATATAATTTATGCTTCAGTAATATGTTATTGAAGTTCTAGCAGAAATTTCTAACATTTATGTTATGAATCTAGATGCATAGCAATGTAAAACTGCAAATTGCTGCAGTTTTTTGTGTGTGCAACCTAGTCTGGAGGGAAGAACCTGGTGCTGCACAACGGCAAGCACGTTTAAAAGAACTGGGCTTTTATCGTATTTTACAACAATTACGTCATAGCAAGGATCTCCAATTGTTTGATAAGTATGTCAAACAATCTTTAAACCTTCCTTTCTATTTGTGTTTAAAAATGATCTTTAAATGTCCTTGTAAATTATAATAATTCAATAAGATATTAAATCTTAGTATAATTAATATAAAAATATTTTCTCTCAAATATTTCTGATTTTTAATATACATTTGTCTCATTTCAGGGTCAGAACGGCTATGGCACAATTTTATGATGCCTAAATTCCGGATGTGTTATTGATGAAAGTTAGATTTTGATTTAGAGTTCTTTTATATGCGAAATACAATTATATTTTGGTGTTAACACTGTGATTCTGTATTTCGTTGATGCATAAGCATTTTATATTTATATAGAAAAGATACAAAAACAATATCCCTGACGATGTAATCTGTTTATGTTGTATTTATTTTATTTAAAAAAAGAAAACAATATGCAATATTTCAGTATATTAAAAAAAGAAACGATGTAATAATTGTATCATACATTTTTAAAATATGAATTGTTTGATACAATGATAATGTCAAAAGTAATTGATTGCAAAGTTTTACATTGTGGAATGTCAACAAATTATATACAGGTATCCGTATGATATACTTCATATTAAACATATTTTGCTATAAACATGATTAGAAAAGTTGATAATTATTTATTATCACGAAAAAAATATTTTTAGTGTACTTAAAAGAAGTATATGACTAGTATCTCTTATAAACTATCATCGATTTTAAATCTTTGGTATGGAGCTTCAAAAGTTATTTACGAAAATTTAAGTATTTTTGATTCTTACGATCATCTTGCTATTTTCATTAAATCTAAAGAATCTGGAATGTTAAAATTCAACTAATAAGTATGAAATATCAGTGCAAATGTAAGAAATAGATAATACTCGTAGCATTATCCTATTTGGAGAAAATAAAAATATCTCTTCTGGCTGTTGCTATAAACTGCAACTAATCATATGTCATGATAATATAGTTTTAAATACTTTAAAAAATTAAGCAGATGCATTACTGTTATCAGAAAGATTTTCCATGGGATTGTTAGCCAAAGGGTCCAGTTCAGCAAATAAATCCAACCAGGAATTACCTTTTTTGCCAGTCTTATTTTTTTTCTAAGAAAAATATAGAAAAAATTTAATAATAGTGTTTCAGATATTTTTAATTTGATTTTAGTAAAAACAAATTTAGTTTTTACTTACCTTGTCACCCATGTTGATAGTCGGCATGCTCTTTTGCCCAATGCCAAGCGCTGCATCGCCCAAACTTTGTTTCAATATATTCGGTGGCAAAAATGTATCATGTGATATCGCATCCCATTCGTTATCAGCATTCTGTTTATCAGTGAGAATATCATTCAAAAGTACCATATTCTCGGATGTGAGGAACTGTAAAGATTGCTCTCTTGAATTTTGTTCTTCTAAGGAAGAGAAATCAGCCAGATTAAGATTTGTATCAGATTTGTTAAATATATCCATCGTTAAACTTTGTTCACCAAACTTTCTATCAAGTTCAGATTGATTTCCTTCTTGCATATTACTATGAGTGGCGTTATCTAGAATTAAATTTTCAAAAAGTTGATCGAGATTCTCCTTATGTTCTATATTAGAAGTAGACTGTGAAGTAATTTCATTATTCGAGGAACTGGAATTCATGTCTAATTCTTCCAACCCTTTAATGTCTTTTGTCTCATAATCAATATCCAATAATTTTTCATCTTGTTTATCAATTTCAACTGTATTTTGTTTGGCTGGTTGTACTTCTTCAGCTTCTTCAACACTGTCATGATAATCCATGTCAAAAATTGATAACCTATGATAAAAGAAATATATTTTATCTAAAAATTCTGTTATTAACACTTTAAAATTTATAACTTACTTCTCTTTTTCATCGAGATCATCGTCACCTCCAGTTTCTTGAGCTAATTTACTTGAGGGTTCAGCTAGTTCTCTCACTACCATAAAATCATATCGTTGATAGCCTTTAAAACTGCTTGCTATTGTAGAATATGCTTGTGCAGATTTTTCAGTAAAATTTAGAAGTGTACTCTGATATAAAACTAAAGCATGGCTAAACATATTACATCTTGCTGCTGCTAATAGATCTACCTTTTGAAGGCAATCTAAAGCCAGATTATCAAAGGCTATTTTACCTCTGTATGAATAAAGAAAATATAAATTCAAAGCTATCTAAATGTCTATAGAATTTAGATGTTAACAATAATTAACAATACATACTGTCTTACACATGTTTGAACTTTACGAAATCTTTCTAATTGTTTTGATGTATCAGGATCTAATTCCTGAGAAATATTTTTCATCCATGACAGAGCAGCTCTGTACTCTGTACGAGCTTTTTCCATTGCTTGGACCTTTTGCAGTGTGTCTTCAATAGCTCTTTGTCTAAATGTTTCTACTTCCTGATACAAACGTCCTAATGGTGCTCTTAATGCAAGTCTTTGTTGACCAGAATATGATAAAGATTTTCCAACTGCTGTCATCATCTTGCCAGCTCTAGTTTTATCTTGTTTACCAGCATCTTTAAGGAACCGTCCCATTGCATTTTCTTCTTGTGCAAGATCTATATAACATTTAATGGTACAGTCATTTTTATTATTTAAAAATTTTTTTTACCTTAGCTAATCCTATTTTATAGAGACTTAAATAGTAATAACTTACTGCACAATCGCTCCTGATATTTGTCAATAATTCTTTGTAAATAAGAACAAGATTCCTGAATGCTACGAAACAGTTCTAATTTGGCATCCAATTCTGCATCGGACGCTACTATACATTCATCTTCCTTTTTACCTAACTTTCGTGATAAAGCTTGTTTCGTAACCCAAAACTGATGTTGCATTTTTGTGATAGTAGAATCGTCGTGCATATTGGTCATCTGTACCCAACGATCAAAAGTATTTCCTGATATACCTGGTCCGTTTCTGTTACTAAAAATTATACCAGATAAATATTATTGTAGAAAACGTTACAATGGATAATAAATAAATATAAAATAAACATCATAATATTATTTTAAATGCGTGGCTAGCTATCTTATCAGTTACGTGAATGATATTCTATATTACGTATATGATAAATGATACTTTGTTTAATGTAAAATTGGTTAAACGACAATAATTCTATAGAAATTAATATCAAAACACTTACTATGTGTTCATAATGGAAGACGATGGTTAAAAATACGAAATATGATTAACGCTTTTACAACTAAAAGGACACAAATGATTTCTAGGTATGATTTAAAATAACAAATTACTTTATAAATATCATACTTTTTTAACACGTATGATTAAAAAGTGCTCTTTTTTCAATTAATTAAAATAGGCGTTTGTACTTTAATACTGATAAAAAAGCAAACACACTCTTTCCTGTCAATTTGACAGACTGAGTATACAGTTTACTATAGTTAATTGTCCACCTAAGAACTGCTTAAAGTGAGATTTTAATGGATGCGACATAACAAGGCGTGTTACCAATGAAAACAAAATTTCTTAAAAACACATTAACAAAAAACAATTTCATTATTATTTTACGAACTTGTAATAAAAGAAAAGATTATTAGTTTCATTAAATAAAGAAACAGTTATTTGCTATAGAACTAATCTGAGACAGATTTTTCAAAAATAATTTATTCAAAATATATGCGATCACAAATATTATTAATAAAATATCAAATTTTAGAAATTTTATTAATTTCTTAAAAAAATCACTATATTATTTCTTTATTGCGCTTTTACAGCCAAGAAAGGATTTGATTTACAATATTTTTTACATAATTACGAGTATTTTATCGAATGAATACATTCCTCTCATTCAGACAAATTATGATATTAAATTATAATTACTTTAAATATAATTTAAAGAATTACAATAAATAATTTTATATTGATCATATATGTATATTGTACTAAAACAAAGTTGAAATTATTTTTTTAATATATTACCATTTTCATAACTGATTTATCTTATTATACTAACATATTTTTAGAAAATGCAATTTTTTAATTATTATATTTTTTATAAATTTGATATATTCTACAAAAACGCGTGAAGTAAATTAAATTTTCGAATTTTACAATCATAACTTGTATATCATTTCTTAATTCTATAATTTGAATAAATGTAATAGAAAAAAGTTTTGTATCGTTGTGGGCGAATAATAATTTATATATTTGGCCTATTTTTCTTTTTATTAGTTAGTAAGATGTAACTAATAAGATATGTAAATAACACGTAACTAATAAGTTAACTAATATGTTATACAAGTAATATAGTTATGCAAAATATAACAATTTACATATTATTTCTTAAATTCATAATTTAAATGAGTAATTATAATTATTCGTGTGCAAATAATTTATGTATTTGTCCTATTTTTCTTTTTTTCTTTTATTAGGCAGAGAATGTTAAAAAGGGTCAAGTTGTTCCATCTGCTATTTCTAGGTCGTCGTGACGAGCATAGATTATGAGTAAAAACAGCAAAAAGGCAATGGCGGCTATTCTTCAGACAGTCACCGAATTTATTATGAAAAATTTCGGAAAAATGTGATCTCCGTGTCGGTTCATCGCGAACAAAATCGAGGTACGTTTTCACATTTTTATCGTCGAATTTACAATGTCGATGATCATCATACTTGGTACATTCTGATGAGATGTCACATGCAACCACATGTGGATTTGAAATTAATAGATACTTTTTTATAAAAACAACTAACCATGAAATCCAGGTATTTTTATACATATTTCAAACATTTGACGTTAAATACGATGAATATCATAAAAGACAAGTTAAACAATTTTTCTCCTATGTCCACCGCGTTTTTATACTGTAACTTTACGAATCGAAAAAATAATAATTTACACACAATCAGTTAAAGCGTATTTTATTTATAATATAGATAATATGTTAATTTTGATTTTTCATTTATGTGTGCATTTATGTTTTAAGGTAATAATGTAAATAATATTAAGTATATTGAAATATGTGAAATATGATGTATATTAATAATAAAAGGATAGGAAGTTCCAACCTATTATGAAACAGACTCGAATGTTTAAAAATACAGTGGCTACCAAGAGTTTTTTCATATACGTAATTGTATTTTTCAATGAATTAGGTTTTACGTTTCATTTTCATTGTATGAAATTTTTGTAGTCATATTTGGATTTAATTAATTAGTATGTAATGTCATAGTAAATATAATGGGGTGCAAGTAGTTCTTGTAACCACTGTATATATTGTACTGTTATCGTATAAGTTGTTATTTAAATATATAATTATAATTGGTAATTTATATTTTTTATATTTTTAAGTATTAATTTGATAGCACTGAAATAGATCTTTTGTTATACCATTGAATTGGATTTATAATTTATA